CACAGCCCAAGATGACACAATCCAGTAGCTGAGCCTTGATTTGAAACCAGGCAATCTAGTTCTTAAATATTATGTTACAGTGCAGGAAAGTGGCCTCTTCAAACCTAAATCGAGGTCATGCTAAGTCTCACTTATTTGTGCAAACCAGATTCATCTATGTTAAACAAAAAAAAACCTCAAATAAAATGGAATTTACTAAAAATGTATCAACATAATTTAAAGAACTGGTATAGCAAAGACCTACTAGTTGAAGGTAGGTCTTCAATTATAACTATGAATTATTTCATGGTATACTAACATTTTGAGAAATGATAATTTGAGTAAACCTACTCTTGCTGCTTTTACAGCTTTATGTAAAAAATGTTAAAGCTACCAGAAAACCCAAATAACAGGCTTAGGATGATAATCTGAAATGAGAAGCCAGTTTTAGTTGAATGTTTCCAATAGGGATGAGCTAAGATGTATTTCAAAATGACCAGGATGGATCTTGCACTAAAATTTGAATGTCAAGAAATGACCTGTCAGTCAGGCACAGTGGCTCACACTTGCAATCCCAGCACTTAGAGAGGTCGAGGCAGGATGACTGTTTGAGCCAGGAGTTGGAGACCAGCCTGAGCAACATGGCGAGACCCCATCTGTACCAAAAAAAAAAAAAAAAAAGGCCAGGGGTGGTGGCACAGGCCTGTAGTCCCAGCTATGGTGGAGGCTAAGGAAGGATTGCTGAAACCCAGGCACTGGAGGCTGCAGTGAGCTATGATGACACCACTGCACTCTAGCCCAGTCAACAGAGCGAGACCATGTCTTAAACCAGAAAAAAGAAAAAAGATAACTTCTTTTTCCAAGTTTTTAGACTAGTTCTTAGAGTGTGTTACTTTGGGAGAGAAAAAAGGTAAATAAGAGAAAATGAAAACACTTAAGTTCCCAAGACTAAGTAAGAAGTTACTATATCACTTAAAAAAAAAAAAAAAAGGCCGGGCCCGGTGGCTCACGCCTGTAATCTTAGCACTCTGGGAGGCCGAGGCCGGCGGATCGTTTGAGCTCAGGAGTTCGAAACCAGCCTGAGCAAGAGCGAGACTCCGTCTCTGCTAAAATTAGAAAGAAATTAATTGGACAACTAAAAATATATAGAAAAAATTAGCCGGGCATGGTGGCGCATGCCTGTAGTCCCAGCTACTGGGGAGGCTGAGGCAGGAGGATCGCTTGAGCCCAGGAGTTTGAGGTTGCTGTGAGCTAGGCTGACGCCACGGCACTCACTCTAGCCCGGGCAACAGGGTGAGGCTCTGTCTCAAAAAAAAAAAAAAAAAAAACCTAAATGTAATTCTCTATTCCTTTAACACGAAGTTAATTCCTATGGCAAAAAATCTACATATATTTTGAATTAAATCTTACCTAACGAAAAATCATCCCGTCTCTAATTCTAGCCTGATAAAAAGGGACAAAGGATTATTTCAAACAAGTCACCAAGCACTCTTTAATTTGCAAGCAGCTGCCTAAAGGTAAAGATGTTGTCTGAACTTTGCACATACTCCCAGTCAATGACTTTGAGGATTAAAAAAACAAAAACACTCCAGATTATCCCCTAACATTTAGAGTTCCCAGGACTGAAAGTTACTGCAGATTTTCATCCTAAAAAATAAGGAATATGACACAAACTTAAAAGGGGAAAAACTGTCAATATTCAAATGGGGAGATTCAGTTCAATGACTTATTTTAAGAACTATATCAAAGAAATAAGCTGTTATGGTTTTTTAATCACAGAACCACATTTCTACAGCACTGCTAAACTTTTCACAAAAAGTTTATATTCATGAGACACAAGTTTTAAATTACTAAAAGCCAAAGCAAAGTAAACACTAAGTATACTGAAGCTTAAAAAAAAAGTTATGATTTGACCTCCCCTTTCAGGTAGATCTGAAAACAATCTCACCAATATATATCAGGTGAACTTTTGAGAGGCAATTTGGGGGAAAAACGCTTAAATCTGTGTACAAATTTTTTTAAAGCATTCTTGATTTTATCTCTTGGTTAAAAAATAAATAAATAAAAAATAAAAAAATAAAGCTAATTACGCTGTCTTTCTTAAAAAACAAGGTCCCTCCCTAGAAAAGCAGTATGAACTCTGCAGGCAGAGCCCTGGAATAACATTTTCTGACCAAGGCATACTAGGTATTAAAATTAAGGCAGACCATTTGACTAATCAAGCCGGATAAAGAAATCTGCATCTTATTCAAAACATCTCAATTATTACTTAAGATCTTGTGGTATTAAAGTATTACCTAGGTATTATTTCCTAAGAACTGATGCTTGTTTTACTAAATAGCTATGTGTACTGTGAGTCTAAAGATAAGCTTGATAAAAAGTAGTTTGATTTATATACCATATTCACCCATTCCTCAAAGCTATTTATATCTCCATTTGAAGTGATAAAATTCAGTTTCCAAAACAGAAGCCCGAAATTTGCCATGGTTAATAGGACTGGATTTCTCCAGAAATCTGTCAACCACTTCCACACCAAAACAGTATTGCTTCATTTGAAATTATTAATTAGCCCTCTACTAAATGCTTTAACATCTCCCAAATTATTAGATCCTAACCAGTTTAATTTTTATTCTTCACCAACCTATTTATCTGCTCTATGATTTGTTTCCTTATTTTTAACAAATAAGCAGGTAGGCAGTATAATAATGTAAGATTTCTTTCCGTTTCAATACAATGAAGACTTTTAACAACTGCACACAATATTTCTCCTGTCTTGCTACAGAAAAATATGTATACCAGAAGTATACATTTAGTGAAAAAGCTTTCCCTTCTTCCCAATGCTTTGGAAATCCCTTGGCCTGTCTTTTAATTTGGATCCAAAGACAAAAGTTCAAACAACGACCTATTGAATACTTTATTAGGCAAGTACTGCAAGTGTCCTGGTCAAAAGAACAAAGACTGCCCAACTTAATGCTATAAAGGATCCTTGGGCTAGGATAATCATTTTTAAAACCAAAATAAAAAATTGTAGAGGCATGGGCAAATGACATGGAAGTTTCTAAACCAGGCTACCACTCAGTGAGCTAGGATCCACTTGGTTCTGCAGCCAAATAGTCAACTGTCCTTACAATAATATGCGATATAAGATGTTCCTTAGTTTGGTCATGCCCATGCCTAGATAGAAAAGTAAAAATCCAAAAAGTCATGAGTTCTAAGAAAAACTGAGAAGCTTAGACAAAGTTCTTATTGTGACATTAGATAAACTGAGTTTTTCACACTGTGTAATAATCAGAAAATTCCCAGGGATAAAGGAAAACCATACACATTACATTCTGATTGTCTCAAAAGTGAAATAATTAAAGCTAACAAAATTAATCTATTAAGTGCCCAACACTTAATTCGGTCCAGTCTTAAGAAAGTAAGATAACTGGGTAAGAAAAAAATTGTTAAAAAGCATCTATTCAAATAAACGACTACAACAGAAGAATAAAATTCCAGGATCAGCAGCAACAGGCATTACTAACATAAGAAAGAAACAGATGCCTGACTGCAAATTTTTTGCTGTAAACCAAAAGGAATCAGATATAAGTTTTCAGTATGATTGTCCAACAGGAATAAAGTAACAGTACAGGTTGACACGTTTCTTTAACAACAAAAAGAAAAAAGTGTCTGTCACCTTTCCAACTCTAAACTATTATAAAATTAATTAATTAGTAGTTTTAATTTCACACTGCCTTAGCAGTTCCACATCATTAACTGTAAAACTTAAGAAATCATTATGTTTCTAAAGAAATTGTCAGTTTTTAAGTTTACTTCCACACGCTGTGTTAATTTCCTCTCACATTTGATCTGGCCTAGGTCATCTGGAAGCTGACATTCAAAGGGTTAAGTGTTAACATATTAGTTCATGGATAAAATAAATTCTGAGATCATTCAGCTACTTTCACATCCTATTTCAGCTTGGTCCATGTTCTTGGTAAGAAGAGTACTGATGGCATTTTCATGTATGTATAACGTACCTGACTTTTTTCCCTTCAATTTAACTCTGCTTCTACCAATTCACCTATGCCTGGTGAGGGCAACATTCAAGCAAGCTGCTACAGTAGGTCAAGCAACAGGTAGCCCAAACTAAGCTATTTAAACCTAGAATACTGGTCAACCAGAATGACACACCATTATTTACATCATGAAAGGTTATAAAAGAAAGCATTGTGACTCCCTTGGACTCTTGGGAAAACTTAGCTTAAGAAAATGTTTTATAACTGGATTAAAATAATGATGGTAACATTACAACTATCAAAGCGCTTATACAACTTTGCATGTGCTCCTGTGCTATTCACTGTAGAGTGAATGGGCTGAAGACATTCGTTTTTTCGTTTAACGAACAACGTCAGAGCACTGCTGATACTATAAACCATAAGCATCATGAGGCGGAATAACACCAAACATTTACTTGTGCCTTACTAGCGCCGAGGCATTTAACCAAACGGGCAGAGAAGAAAGTCTTTTTTATAATTCTTTTATACTAAATGCCTGTGCAACCATCAAGTAAGATATGTCCAAAGGAACAAGGTCGTTCTTATTTAAAAAAAACAGCCTGATGGCAAGGATGTAAACACTCTTCTACACATAGGGGCCGTTTCTCACTGCAGAGCCTCTGATGAGACTGAAATGCACAGAGCAAGAAGCCTCTGTACTTTCCTAACTCAAAAACTTCCCCACTAATTCCAAGTGTCCTGCCAGGCGCTAATGAGGAGACAATTCATTTGTACTAGGATGACCTTCACCACCCCCAGCCTAGTCGCAAATCCCTTCGGCTACCCAACAACTCTTATCCTATCCCAACACCTAGGCACAGGCTCCACATTCTCCTAATTTCAAACTCTTTTCAAAGTTGGCCTCCGCCTCCTACTAAGAGTCAAACAGAGAATGACATGTGAAAAGTGAGCTCGATAAACTGGCTCAGCCGAGCCAAATCTGGGATCCAAGCGACTGTAAAATAAAGTAGGTGGGGTTTTTACCTGCAGTTCACACCAGGCGACTTCCACGGTGGTTTCGGTGTCCAGACCTTTGTAGACAGTCTTGAAGGAGCCTCGGCCGATTTCAATGTCGAACTTGAGAAAGCGGCCATCGTTGGACATTCCCACGGCCTTGGTCTCCAGCTCTTCGATGTCATCCTGCTGCTGGCTCCGTTCCTCCGGTGGCTCCTTCGCGCTGCCGCCGCCGCTGCCACTTCTCGCCGGCGGCGGCTCCTCTTTGCTCCCCACAAGGCCGGGCTGGGAAACGGGGCGGTCTCTGCCGGTACTGCCGGGGGCGGTCGAGGCGGCAGGGCCCGCGACGGCTTGTTCCCCAGGAACGGCAGCGGCTGGCGGCTGCTGGGCCACCTGGGAAGCGGCGGTGGCGGTCAAGGTCTCCTCCCGCTGGGGCTCTGGCGGAGCACTCTGCGGAGCGACCGCGGGAACGCTGGGCTGCGGGAGAGACACAGGGAGGCCGGGCAGCTCCAACGCGGTGGCATTGGAGTCGCAGATGACGCTCCGGCGGAAGAAGCGGTGCTCAGTGGTGGTCGTGGTCGCGGCCGCGCCACGACTGTCCTTGTCCATAGTGTGGCGGCGGCGCCGGTACTCCTCGGTCCTGCCAGCGTCGCTCGCCGCGGCCCCCAGTTTCTCCCCGACGGAGGAATCGGAGCTGGAGCCATTCTTGGGGGCGGGCGCCGGCGGCGAGAGGAACAGGGAACTGGGAGTGCTGCTCTGCTTCTCCGCGGCGCTGCCAGACATGGTGGGTCCGCCGGAGTGGGGCGAGCGGGCTCGGACTTGTGAATGAAACGAGGGTGAAGGTCCGCAGGGCGCCGCTCCCACGGCGGGTTCCGGCCGAGCGCGGCGACGCCTCGCTCAGCACTGACGAGCCGTCCCGGAGGAGAGGCGGGACACGGGGCCCAGGTGCGGCGGCTGCTGCGGCTCACAAGGCAGGCTCGTCGGCGGGCGATCCAGGAGCAGAGCCACGGGGGTTAGCGCCGCACGGTCCGCATCCATCCTGCGGCGAGCGGCGGCCGGGCAGGCGGAGGCAGCACAGGCGCCGCAGTCATGAGGGGCAGGGCCGGGCGCAGAGTCGGAGCGGATGCGGCGGATGCGGCGACAGACCAGCTCGCACCGCCGCCGCTCGCCGCGCTGGGCGGGCTAGGCCCAGAGGGCGGCGGCGCCGCGAGGAAGGGACGGGCGCCGACGCCGGGCGGTGGCAGCCCCGGGGCAGAGGAGTGGGAGGGGCCGGGCGGGCGAGGGAGGGCCACGGCCCGGGGCTCCCGGTGTCTCAGGCGCTCGCCGCCTCCCACACGCGCCCCCGGCGACGGGACCAGTCTCACTGGGCGCCCGCTGCCCAGACGGGAAGGGCCGAAGCCGCGAAGCCTCGGTGCCTGAGGAGCGGGCCCCCCCTTCCCCAAGGCCTCCCCGCCCGCCCCGGGCCTGGCAAAGCCCCGTCTCCTCCCGGGCCGGTGCCGCGGGGGCTGAGGGAGGAACGGTGGGGAGGGGAGGGCCGCTCACCGCGGGGCCCGAGCTCCGCTGCTTCTCTGAGCCGAGAGGAGAGGAGACCGAGAGGACTGGGTGGAGGGGGATAGGGAGACAAAAGAGCAGTCACCCCCACCAGGCGCCTTCTGTCACCGAAGAAGGGGGTACGGCGTAGCCCGAGAGAAAAGAGCCGCGTCTGCCCGGGAAACTCTCCACGCTAAATGGCGCCGGGAGTCTGAAGCCTCCACACAGCCCGCTCGGACCCCGCCCCCCGCCGCCCGGGGCAGCCCCACCCCCACCTAGCTCCGGGGCTCTCGCGCAGGCGTGCCAGTACCGAGGCCCCCTGGGACTTGTAGTTCACAGATTGGAGGAATGAAAGGGACCGAGGAGGAAGGAGCCTACGACTTCCATGATGCTCTGCGGGTTTTTGTTTTTTTTTAAAGCCTGCTGCCTCATGGGAGTTATAGTTTTTTTGGAAATCGCCCCTTGTGAAAGGAGGATGGGATCGTCATCGTGGGTCGCTCGACCCCATCCAGAAGTCAGCTCTGGCTAGGAAAATCATCATTTAGGGCTTAATTGGGGAAGAAGGAAAGGAAGGAATAAAAAAAGAAGAAGAGGGAGGGAAAGCGAGGGAGAGACTCCCGTCATGCTCTGCTGGGGCGAGAGCTCTCGGCTTGCCATGCGACGAGAGTGATCTGTTGTTCGTTAATGGAGAGCCGCAGTCGCGCCGAGTGCCTGCGCGGGTGGGGGTGGACGGGGAGGCCAAGCCGGTAACCAGGGCCTGAGCTCAGGAGTGGGGGAGGAGGGTAAAAGAAACTTTGTAAAGACTGTGCATGAGATTAATGTTGGTTAAATGGATTGGGGAAGGAGACTGGGAGAATTGTCTTCCATCCTCCTCCCCTCCATAACAATTAAGGCCACATTGTCAGCTCCAGCCCTGGCCCCAGGACGGATATGCTGGCTCACAAAGACCCAGGAGTGAACGCTATCTTTGCTTTGCCAGAAAAAGAACGAACGGGGGAGGGGACGGCTGGATTCGAGAAAAGATATGGTCTGCCTATCTGTGAGTCTTTGGCTACAAACTTGAGAGGGCTGAGTTGACTTCTGCCTTGGCAGCTGCGTGAAACACTTTTCCGTCTTTCTTTTGCTTAGTTGCCTAGTGAGACAACGTGCTCGCTTTCTCCAGAGCTGCGTGAATGTGCACATATTTTATGCCGGTGCTCTGGACTCGGGAAATCGGGCTCCCCGCCGTTCATGGTAATGGAACGCCTTTCTTGAAAGCATCCGTGTGCGCCTTGGACCCCTCTGCTCTCGCAGCCGCTCAAGACTGCGCAGGTGGCCAGCACCAGGGGGCCCAGGCAGAGCAGGAAGCCGGACTGCGGGCCGGACGGCAGTTAAAAGTCTTAGCCCGGGCGGTTAAAAGCGGGAAGCGCTGAAACGTGCGCAACCGCACCGGAGCGTCGACGCGCAGCGGCCTCTCGCCGGCGCCCGCTGCAGAGCGCGCTGCAAGCGAACATCCTCGCGGAGAGCGCGGCTGCTTCTTAGAACTTGCTCAATTTTTGCTTTACTAGGAAAAACAGTCTGGTTTTAAACATAAGGCAACTGATTATAAATGGTTAAAAGGAGATCAGTACCCCACAATGTTCACTTTGGCTCCATAAAAAATTAGGATTTGCTAAAGGATTTTATTATTGCCCATTCCCGTTTACTGAGCCCTGAATCTTTGGCCACACTGCATTGTTGGACACAAGTACCCTGACAATCACCATGCCCTATCCACATGTCTTTTCAACCAGAAACAACTAAATTCATTGTAAATAATTTAATTAACTTTCGTATCAAAACCACACTTGCCCACGAGAGCTTTTTCTACTTGTGTAATGTTAGCTTTACTATGAATACAAACACAATTTTGAGTATAACCATATTGCGTACAATGGTTAGATTTAAAGGTTTCGTTTAGTGTGAATATTTTACTACAAACACTTATTTGCTCAGTTCTCTTTTCAATGCTTACCAACCTCCAAGTAACATGATATTTTCTGGTACTTGTTGCTGTAATCCCTGTTAGTACTTTTCCTTTCTCTGTCATTTCCATTGTCAAGTAAACGATCAAGCCCTCCATAATCCATATAAAATATCGAGTTACTTACTCTAAGTACAGGTGTAGCAGAAAGAACTCAGGATGAAATGAATGCACTAAACTCAGAGCTTTGACATCCATAAGAAGAATACAAGTTCTTTATTTTCTCTAGTTCTTGTTCATTTTCTAATGTTGATTTCATGTTTCTATTTCCCATCCATTCACATTTTATGTTTATGTGGTCTCTGCCATTGGTAACTGGCTAGCTAGAAAAGTCAGAGACAGCTTTGATTTAGAAAGCAGCTGAGGCCGGGCGCGGTGGCTCACGCCTGTAATCCTAGCTCTCTGGGAGGCCGAGGCGGGTGGATTGTTTGAGCTCAGGAGTTCGAAACCAGCCTGAGCAAGAGCGAGACCCCGTCTCTACTAAAAATAGAAAGAAATTAATCGGACAACTAAAAATATATAGAAAAAAAACTAGCCGGGCATGGTGGCGCATGCCTGTAGTCCCAGCTACTTGGGAGGCTGAGGCAGGAGGATCGCTTGAGCCCAGGAGTCTGAGGTTGCTGTGAGCTAGGATGATGCCACGGCACTCTAGCCCGGGCAACACAGTGAGACTCTGTGTCAAAAAAAAAAAAAAGAAAGCAGCTGAAATATCCTAAACACACATAATGTAATTTATTTTCAATGTGGCATAATTCATTTCCTTTAAGTACAGGGGAAAAACTATCATCTCGAGAGCATTTCTCTTTTTTTGTCTCCTTTTCCTCATTTCCCATGCTCCTTTGTCTTGCCTATGGATAATTTTTATTTTACCTGCCTGCCATCTGGAAGTAGAAGTGAGAACCAGGCAGGTAAACAATGAAGAATAGACTTTTTTTAGCTTTTTTTTATTATAAATGAAATAAAGGGGAGTGGGATTTGCCCTATATCAAAGCATATTATAAAACGATAAAATTAAATCTGTCTGTTATTGAGATAAGCACAGACAATGGAACAGAAGAGATAATACAGAAATAGTCTATGTATGTACAGGAATTTTGTGTGTGAGGAAGACAGCATTTCAAGTCAGTAGGGCAAGATAATAAACAGTGTTTGGACAATTAATTATTCATTTGAAAAACAAATTAGGTCAGTGTCTATCTCACTCCATTCACAAAATCAATTTTCACGTGCATTAAAGGACTAAATTTTTTTGAAGAGCTCAAAAGATTTTTTTTAAATACAGGAGAATATGGGATAGGAAAGAGCTTCAAAGAACAACCCAAGAGCCACAAAGAAAAATATCTGACAATATCATCATTTATAATCTAACCATTAATAAAACACAAGTGACAGGCTGGCAGAAAAAGTTTGAAACCTGTATAACAAAAAAACTAATTTCCAAAATATATTTTTAAGAAACTAAGAAATCACTAAGAAAAAGACAAACCACTGTAGATAAAAAGGAGGATATGAAAAAACAATTCAGAAAGGAGGAAGTACAAATGACAAAGATAAGCATGAAAAAACTGCTGAAACTCAGTAACTAGGGAAGTGCAGATTAAAATAAGGTAATATTTTTCCCTCATAAAACTGGCAAAATTTTTAAGGATTTATACTATCAAGTGTTGGCAGGGATGTGGGGAAACTTGTCCTGTTAATGACAGCATAAATTAGTAGAACCTTTTTTAGGGCAATTTGTTAGCAATTATTAAAATATACAGTGTGCATAGCCTTTTTTCCCTCTTTTTGGTACCTACCTTAGAGAAATACTTGCACATGTTTAGTAAGAAATATCTATAAGAATATTCACTATGGCTTTGGAACAAAAAATTCAAACAATCTGCATGTCCATCAATAAGAAAATAGTTAAATACACTGTGGTAGTAATATATCCAACTTTGGGAACACCATGCAACAGTAGAAAAAGAGGTAAAATATATGTGTGTTGCTATGCATGTTAAAGAGAAAAACTCAAGTTTCAGGATAATATGCACTAGATCATATCTTGTATTAAAAAAGAAACCCACTATATTTCTATGTGTATTTATTTATATTTTTTGAGACAGAGTCTCACTCTTGCCCGGGCTAGAGTGCCGTGGCGTCAGCCTAGCTCACAGCAACCTCAAACCCCTGGGCTCGAGGGATCCTCCTGCCTCAGCCTCCCGAGTAGCTGGGACCGCAGGTGCCATGGGCCTGACTACCAATGTCCTTCAATATCTTTGGAAACAACTTTTAATAGCTGCATAGTATTTCATCATATGACAAGCGTAAGTTTATTACATCATTTAGGAAAAAACATCAAGTAAAATATTTTAAGATGGGGAACCCAGCGGGCACAGTGGCTGAGGCCTATTACCAGCAGTTTGGAAGGCCAAAGCGGAAGGATACCTTGAGCCCAGAAATTCAAGACCGGCCTGGGAAACAAAGCAAAGACTCCCATCTCTGTAAAAAAGAAAAAGAAAAGCCTATAATCCCAGCTACTCAGGAGGCTGAGGCAGAAGGATGGCTTGAGCCCAGGAGTTTGAGGTTGCTGTGAGCTATTATTGTACCACTGCACTCCAGCCTGGGCGACAGAGCAAGACCTCGTCTCTAAAAATTAATTAATTAATTTAATTAAAATAAAAATGGGGATCTATAGCCTGTCTCAGGCTTTAACATACCGTCACAGGAAGAGATTTATCAGAATCTCCTAGGAAGCTTTTACAAAATACACCTGTTGGAATGTTTCACCACTACCCCCACCCAATCTAGGTGTATTTTTGGTGAGGGAATTCATTGCAAGCAGACCTACATTATAAGAAATGGGTTTTTTAATAAAAAGGAA